ATGTTTTTAGAGTAGGCCATGATCGACAGGCGAGTCATGTCCGTGATAATTACTTACGAAACTAACACTTAAAAAGAAGAACTATAGCTCCGACATACGTGAATTTTTCCAATGCCTACATTAGAGACATTTTTTGTGGATCACTCCATACTAAAACGATTATTACTTACCGCTTCATCGTCCATTTTCACTCAATTGCACTATAATGAATGTCTGTCTTGTAAACATAACACTTTCGAGATTAAAGTCGAAATTTCGAGTTTAAAGTCGAAATTTCGAGTTTAAAGTCGAAATTTCGAGTTTAAAGTCGAAATTTCGAGATTAAAGTCGAAATTTCGAGTTTATAGTCGAAATTTCGAGTTTAAAGTCGAAATTTCGAGTTTAAAGTCGAAATTTCGAGATTAAAGTCGAAATTTCGAGTTTAAAGTCGAAATTTCGAGTTTAAAGTCGAAATTTCGAGATTAAAGTCGAAATTTCGAGTTTAAAGTCGAAATTTCGAGATTAAAGTCGAAATTTCGAGTTTAAAGTCGAAATTTCGAGTTTAAAGTCGAAATTTCGAGATTAAAGTCGAAATTTCGAGTTTAAAGTCGGAATTTCGACTTTAAAGTCGAAAATTTTTTTTTTTTAATATGTGGCCCTTCTACGCCTTCGTATTATCGATTATACATAAGAAATATTCATTTTTACGTATATTTAATCTCAATAATTCAAAAATATACTGACAGTTAGTTTGACTACATAAAATTTAAAAAATAATAGTAGCCGGGTGACCAATATATAATCTGATTGGTGGATTTAACTGTTTTGCAGTGTTCTTACTAGGTAGAATGAATATGAAATATATTCGTTCAGTTGAACGCAATGGAATACTTTTTTGTTTTGTAGTATATGCGTAGATTAGCTAATATTCATGTGGGTATAGGAAAAAGCATATCCATGTGGATGTAGAAAATAGTAGTTTGTGTAACATGAGTGAATATAAATTAAATTGATTTCATATAGTTTAATTAAAATTTATAATTATTTATTTCTAAATATAGATCAAATAAAACTAGAAATGCTATTATTTATCGATTCTACACAAGTATAACTCATTTTACGCAATAGCATATTTTTTCGTTCTGTAGTCTGTACGTAGATACGCTATCCATTTGGGTGTAGAAAAAATTGTTTTCTAGTACTAAAAATATTTAAAAATAACATTGAGTAAAATGATTTATTATTAGTAAAAGAAGGAATAAAAATAATCATTTTTATTGACTATTGGTCGGATTTCTACTCGGATTTCTACTCAAATTTCTAATATCTAAACCTCTAGTGAAACGTGGATCTAAGATCTCGGGTAGTATACAATCTAAATAAAATTGCTTTAGTTTGTTTTCCATATACACCAAAATCTATCATCTTTTTTATTTTTTCTACTAACATACTTAAAGGTATTAAAATAAATAAAAAAAAAATATTTCGTTTAGTTACGTTAAGTTGCCCCTGAACAATTATTGCATTTTCGCATTATCATTAATAATTGCAAATTTTATTATGTTGTCAACCATTGCTTTTTTCGGAGTCAGTTTTGAAGTAGTGGCAGGATATTTAATTTCGATAATACTGTCTGTTCCTAATAAACCGTCGGAACCTAAAAAACCATATTCAGAATCCACAAATAAACCACATTTATTGGATATCCGCTTTAAATTTGTAAATATTGCTTTAAAGCTAAAGGTTTTTTTTTTATTCAATACTTAGTATATTAATTTCCCATATATTTTAACTTTAATGCTTAGAAGGGGTGCTAATGTTTGTCTTTCTAAGTAATCTAGCACGATATTTTATAGATTTCCGTCGAAACGGAAATATAATTTTCGGCATTTCCGAAAGTTTTCCCATTTTTACCACAAATTATTATAACTCAGCTTACACATAAAAGTTCATATATACACATTGACTAAATACGAAACAAAAACACCTACACTTGAACTAAAAAGAATAAAGTTTTTTATTATTTTATTTTTATCCCAATTTTCCGGTACTGCATGCACCGCCAACGTCCGCCGCCTTGTTGCCAAATCAATTAATATGGATTGGAATCTTGACAGATTTTCTCAGATTTCCTAATTCAAGGTTTTCAAAAAATATACGCTTTGGACAAAAAAGTGTATTGGAAAGAATTAGCTGATTTTTATATAACAATTCCCGGTAAAGACTCCTTTTTGCAATAATTTTCATAATTTGTATAGAAATAATTAAAAAATTAGTTTTTCTGAATTCGGGCTCTACAGCGGAGTTCTCTATCATTTGCTTAGTAGGTATACCAAATTTTATAAAAAAATATTTAAAACTGAGAAAGAGAACCTTGAAGTCGTTTTAAGCCTGTTTCTAACCATGGATATCGCTCTTAATATAAAATGATAAGTATCCGAAAAATTTGCTCGTGGGCTGAAACAAAGCCAGTTAGTAGGAACTTTATTGAAGGTGAAAGAGTTTTAAGGGCCGGGTATATTTCAAAATGTGGTAAAAATCTAGTTAAAAGTGACCGTGGAACTGTCAACATCACGGAGTATTGCTTGCAAACGTCCAACAGTAAAGGAAAGCCCCATCAAAAAAATTAAAGCAGAAATAAATAATGATATTATATAAAATTATTTTTAATTAAAGTTATATAGTAGAGAATACGTGTTTTTTAGGTTATGTCTGCAACACTAACACTTTCGTGGTAATATATAGTCATATACTTTGAAATGGAGTGAACAGACTGTCATATTCTGTGTAATATTGTTTATTTTTAATGCTTTCATCCAAGCCACTAACAAATCAATTTTTTCCAACTTTTCAAAGTGATTTGCAACACTAACAAAACGTTTTCCAGCTGGTGGAAAATAGTGCAAGCTTAAACTTATATCTTTATGTGAGCGTATATAGCATCCGGGGACCAAGCAAATCAGTCAGACTCTTCCTTTAACACATCAACGTCCATTTTCCACTCTTATTCGCAAAATTCACAGTAATTATGCGCGTTGACACTGATATATATGCAAACGCAATATATTCCTAATAAAGTGCCACCTAAAATTAGTTTAATTTTTTACCACCAGACGTCGTACCGTCATCGGATACATCCCAATAACTATCAACCATTATTTACGAAAATGTGTTGGTATGGTATACAATAAACCAAAAAATTATTTATTAACAAGACAAATATAATATGTGAAAACTTCCTCATATTCTAGCGCCACCTTGCGCCGATCCTATCTTGTTATAAGTGCCACCTTCTGTAGCAATATGAAGACTAGAGAAAAGTAGCAATACGTAACTGTTTACTGGTTTTTGTATGGGTTTTTGCTTAGAATATAAAGTAGTGGGTTTTTGTATTGAAAACGTCAAATTATATATAAGATATAAGAACATCTATTATTTACAATTATTGGTGACATTTTTAGAATACAAGTTTAATGAAGATGGTAAATACGGTAAATATGAAGTTGTCCACCTCTTCGAATTCTAAATGTTCTGCAGGAATACTGAAAATCCAGCCAGTGAACTTTAGATGTTGATGATAAAGAAATAAATGGTTTCTATACATATCGTCAGTTATTTAGTCTTCTTGAGTTATGTTATATTCATATTTAAAGTAATCAATTTAATTATAACCATTCATCTGAACTCTGCCTGATACCAAACAAGATAATTATAATTATCCAACCATTAACATCTGTAGTGTATTAAATTACACATTATTAATTTACGCGTTTTTGATTTAACCGAGCTTATCAGATTATATTTAATTTTTTTACGGTATTTGATTTTATACAATTGCATTATGTTCTGTTTTTTGTAATGTATTTAATTTATATAAGATTTACGTAACTAGATACCGTTCTCGTTTATCTTTAGACTGCAAGCTCACGAGGATACTCCTACTTATATGATATATTAGTATTAATTAAAGGCATTCATGCAAAATAAGAACCAGAATACTAACTGAAATATTTCATTGATAATTGATGATCTCTTATGGGAGTTAAAGAATACCCCCAATCATTTGCAGAAACATCGTAGTTAATGGTAAATTTAAGAGAGTTGTTTCCAAAAGGATACAGCATGCACTAAATATTGTCGAAAGATAGTGTCCACAAGACAAATTGTCCAAAAATTCGGCGAACACCTATGTTGTTGCATTCCCAAGAAAAAAAAAATCAGGAAGGAATGAAAGAACATCTATAATTGGCAAAGGATGTTAAATATTTTGGAATTGCCTTTGATGACTGCAGCCATAATGAAAAAACAGAAGAAAAGCTGTAAGAGGCCTATAGACGAATACATTAAGGCTTAAAGAAAGTATGATGCACTGGCTTTATATACTAAGGTTGTACCCCTTGTAACCTACTCATTAGTCATAACACCTAGCAGAAAAATACATAATGTACAAAGACCAGCTTCTTTAATAATAACAGGGGCCTTTAGAGATAGACCCACTGCAACGATTGAGCTACAGCTAGGTCTTTCTCCATTACACCTTGTGGATAAAGAAACTATGCCAGCGTACAGGTTGTTTACAAATGGATTTGCATGGAAACTTTTAAGAAAATGACACCATACAATGATGGAAACTTTTAAGAAAATAACACCATACAATGATATTAAAAAAATTAAAACCAAATCGAATGTTAAAACCTATTATTCATGACTTTATAAAACCTATTAAAATACCGGCAAGGGCCAAAAGCCGGGAAAATAGTGAAATACAAAACGAATCAATAATTCCAAATATTTTTCTAAAGAACGGTTTCATCGCATTGTATAATATAAAACCCCATCTATTCATTTTCTGAAAAATTATTTAATATCTACCAATAGAACTTTACTATTTACATTAAAAATGTCACATTAATTTAATAGTAAAATTTTCTTTTTTTTATCGTATATTTCCGCGTTTTTAAACAATTTTACAAATTTGTATAAACACCCTGTACGTTAAGAAAATTTATAATTAAGCTTACCTTGAATAATAATTGAGTTGCAGATTGTACATGTTGCTAACAGAAGAAATTTTAACATAATCAACCTGTAACAAATAAAAAGTATTAAAACATATGGATCATAATACATAATTTAATGTACAATTTATTTCAATCAAAAAAAAACTATGAAATTTATAACAATGAACATTTTATAGTTAATCTGACTTAATAATAATAATTGTAAAAAGGTTTATATAGTGAGAGATGAAGTGATAAAGATCTCAATAATAATCTAGGAACAACTTGTGAAGCGAATACTTAAATAAGCATTTTAGGAGAGCCAAAATTTGGCACAAAAAGAAATGAAGAAATTAAGAATAATTATTAAATCAAAAGAAGATAGTAGCACTATCAGAATTGACAAAAAAAGCAGTTCTACTGGTATTCACACAAGAATATTACAAGTTCACGAAACCAGATGGAAAATACATGTAAAGAAAAATATTGAATAAATAAAGAAAGAAAATCAATGAATTTAGCAATCTAGCAGAATCAGAAAGAAGCTCTGGCCTCTAAACAGTAGCATAACTAAAAATTATACCCCCTTCAACTTTTGATAAAAGACCTCTCTACATACGTACTACATGATCGTGAACTCAATTACACAATAGAAACTATTTTGTATACTTTAAAAATATTAACACAAAAGTTAAAAAGTAATTGAAAAAAAAAAATACTGTTACGAAGTCTAATTTATTTTTAGTTTATTTATTTAAAAACACACTATTTACAATTAATTTCAGACGTACTATTTATTTTTAATATATTTAGACACTAACTAACAATTCTAATTTATTTATTACACTTTAACTTTTCATTACAATGTTCTATATCAAACTAAACTGGGCGCCGATACGTCGGCTATTTATATTAGTCCAACTCCGCTACTGGAAGATACCAGAGGCTCTAGAACATTCCACTTCTATGACTAAACGGTACTCCCCGCCGTTCCAGCTGTTTCTAGTGCATCAGCGGCAGGCATTTCGTCGTTTCTTGTATATTCGAGACGCAGTCCGACTGTTTTCACACGTCAGCGTTACTTCGATCACGAGTCGGTTGCCATGTAAAGGTCGCGCGCGTACTCAGGGTAGGCTTTAAGAATTTCACGACAATACTCCAAAATCGTGTAGCTGCCTTTGCAAATTGAAGAGTTTGATGATATTCTCTTGGATCGTATATTCAGATGATTTAGGTGCGGCCAAATTAGAAAAGAATAATATCGCTGAACATACATAAAAACTATTTCGACGAACTGAGAACCTCCTTCATTTTTTGAAGTGGTTTAAAAAATTAAAAACTCTTTTTTGGGGTATCCATTCAATAATGTTTACCTCATATCAATGTCTGTCTTTAATTCGTTTTCAATTGCCAAAAGAGACAGATAAACTATCCTTTCTTGAGAAATTCTTTAAATAATTTTTATACTATGGCCCGCGGGCCGTATGCGGCCCTCCAAGCATTTTTTGCGTCCCGGAATCCTTTTATTAAGAAGGTGCTTTTAAAAACTATAGGTTTTTGTTTTTAAAATTTTGAGCAAAATGCATGAAAACATTCATCGGTCTCTGCACTAAATATCACGCAATTTTTAACGCTTGGATCATGGAGTTACTGCAAGAACAAGATATATTTACTTTCGGTATTTTTGAGTTAAGTACCCTTTCGTCTCCAAAATAGTTTAAATAACATACGGCATATGCCAGAGACAGGTGTGGACGAAGTCTGTATTTATAATAAACAGATGGTAAACAAAAACTAACTCCATATTAATACATTTACAAACAGAAATATAATCATAACATTGTATTTAGTTGCTAATAGTGTGTCTACCAAAATCAGATAAAGGCCAAAACACTTCGTTTTGTTGAAATACTTCAACATTTTACCCAAGTCATTTGGTTTGTTTTGCCTATAGCCGTCTCTGGCCTTTCTCAATTGGTCCGAAATCGACAAGGTGATTATGTCACCCTTTCTTTTCACGATACAGCTAACCTTCAAAAAAGAATAGATTATAACTCGTAATGCCCGAATCGCCGTGGTAAATCATTGATTTGTCAAGTGATCGATCTTGTCTTGTCTCGTCTTCATATTGTTTTCGCGTTAAAACGACCAGAAGCACTTCTTAAATCACCGAAACAACAGCTTTCTGCATTGCTTGAAAAACCTAAGCATGCCTGAGTGAAAAAAAAATCTCTAAAGACACTTACAAAAAAGTGCAAAGCATTAGTAATGCCAAGAAGAAAGATTTACTAAAACTCTGCAAATCAGGTGCTACACCTGATGAATTTCGCCATTATTATCACAATCTTCCTGTATACAACAATGTTAAAGACACGGTACATGAACCTTCCATTCAAGATAGTGAAACAGACATTGAATATTACGACCTGTATTTAGACAGCTAAAATAAGCACATTTTCCTCTTTTTTTTGTTACAAATCGACAGATTCTTATTTTATACCTTGTGAAGACTAATTGGGTCCTATGATTGAAAGTTACGTTATCCTTAACGTACATGTTAGGCCGAGTTTTAACATTAACGAGGCAAGTTCGTATGATAGAAAACTTTTTCCAACGCATTACTGTTATTTTCCGCTTGTGTTCTAATTTAATAGTTTTCCATCAAACGAACTTGCATCGTTACTGTTAAAACTCGCCCTAACATGTACGTTACGGATAACGTAAACGTTCAATCATAGCACCCATTATGTTTTGAATACCTTTTTTCATTGGAGTTATTGTTCATTAAACATTTTGAACCTTTACTGATTTTTTAATCAATTTTAAACTTTTGAAGAGGGTTTTCTCGAAACTCTTAAAATGTGAATTTTCTTATTTTTGCAGTAACCTGATAGAATATATCTATGTTTTGTGTTTTATTTATTAGAGATTTCCACTAACTAAATTTAAATGGATGGCCATAGAAAATATACGTATGTGACCGGTAGGAAAAAAGGTTTAGTATGGCTGCCATAGCCTATACAATGTGGTTAACTAAATTGTCGAAGACACCAAAAAAAAAAATTAAAAAAACCTTTTTTTACTACTTGTAAAGTTAAGTACATCATCAGTGCTGTAATTGTGTTAGGAAAGTAAGTAATTTAAAAATTCAACTATGCTTTGAATATTCTGCAAATTTTTACATAATAATTTATTATATCTTGACAACTAATTCAATGCCCAGACATTCAGTCAAATAATTTTTATAAAATATTTGTAACGTTTAATTATAAATAATAGATAGGATAAGAAAATATTTTTTAAATTTTTTCTACGACCGCCTAGGAAAGTGACACATATCGCACTGTTTAGACTTATGGGAAGTACCCTATATCACATGCATGTGGATAATAATCTACTTTTCTCCCGTGTGTGAATATGAATTTACTTTAATATGTCGGACAAATCATTTCTATTTTAATCTTTGTAATGTCCATATTAATAGTAAAATCCATTTGATGATTACATTGTCAATATTGATTTTTATACTTAATTCATAGATATTTATTTTTATCAATTTACAATATAATTTAAAAGTAACATTATTTTTATGTTTTTTCTTTCTGATTAATATACGTATTTAATTAGGTAAGTCATTTGACATAAGATTTCATGGTCCAGAGCGTACAGTGTTCAAAGTTATCAACTTTGAATTTAGCGATAAAAGCAATCTTTTTGAATTTTGTGTGATTTTCGCACTGGGATTATGTCTCGTGCGACAATATTTCCCACTCATGTAAAAAAATGTCACTTTCCACACTCGTAATGTAAGATACTATTAAGCAACAGTCTATTTGAACGTTTATACTATATAACGTTGTATATTTACTTTAAACCGAGCATATGAAAATCTAAAATCAGAACAATGTCAAGAATAAGTTTTTTACTTAGGCCCTTCCTATGGGGCCTCAGTATTGCATTCGTGCAGACGAAAAAAATTTCTTACCCCCCATTTTTTAAAACTTTCTTTCATGTTTCCGATCATTCTGAATCCGAAAATGCAAAAAAAAATTTTCGTCTGGTCGTCTGTATGTATGTATGTATGTATGCCGGCACGATAACTCTAGAACGAAAGGTCTGATTGACTTGCGGTTTTGATTTTCTTGAATTATTTCTTCTAACTTAGAATCCTATTGATATTTAGAATTTTCGGTTCATCCTAACTACTTTAATATCAATTTTCTTAAAAACCGCCTATGCATTTTGTATGTGACTAATTTTACGAATTCCAATCATTCCTAACGTCTAACATTCCATTCATTGCAAACATTCTCCAACGACCTGTCAAACAACAGCTGTTGATTGTAAAGGTGAGATTTCTAAGGCGGGTTGCGACCTTCATACTTGCAACCATAGCCATTTTGGAGGCTATTTTTATTCGAAATTAGTCGTCAAGCCTACCAATTTATGAAAAATATATAAGCAGTTTCTTAAAAATTACTTTTTTATGGTGGTGCTAACTTAAGCTTACTACTATTTCGCCCCTAGCTACAAAAATACCTTCATCAAATTTACTGGCTCTCTGTCGCAACCCCATAAAATTATTAACCGGCCATTTTATTTGGCAAAAATCAGAATAATGCTGTGCCTGTCAAGTATCAAGATGTCAACAGTGATGTGTGAATGGCTCTTAAATGTTAAATTATTTAAAAATGTTTGTATGCTTCCTTTGATATTTATTGCAAATAATTTGTAGTGTATCTCAATTCAGGCTTTCCATAAATAAAGGTACAGCAAGACAGATATAATATAGTGTTCTTATACAAAGCACTTTTTATTTTATAAATAAATATCAGTCATGTACTGAACATAATTCTGAACTGAACGCCAATTTATTTCTTTTAACATAGTTGCAATATTTATCCTTCTATCCTTTATTAATATTATATAAATAGGCGAAGTAAGGAGCCCAAATATTTTAAATGAGCAGGCTTAAGAGGTAAAGGGGCCAATTATTATTGGATGATTTGCTCGAAGTTTGTAAACCCTAATCAAAAGGCGATACAGAATGGTTTTAAAAATCAAGGCTTGTGAAAATCA